ATAAAATCAGAAAACTGTGGTGTTTATTTACATGAAACCTGTCAGAATCAACTATGTTTAACCACCTATTGTTTTCATTACAGTTGCTCTCTGCAAGCTCAGCAAATTTAGAAGATAAATTTGCTTCTTAATCTAATTTGCAAAATTCATGCTCAGTCTAATTTGATGTAGATTATGTCTGGACTTTGATTGGGCCATTTTAACAAATTAACATGCTTTGTTGTTGCTCTGATCCTATGTTTTGGATCATCGTCCTGCTGAAAGGTGAATTAGCGGGCTGTGTTTCCTGTCCATGGAGAAAAAGAAAGTTCCTTGCAGCATGATGCTTTCAGGTCTTGATTGACTGTTGAGATAGTGTTGTGAGGTGTGAGTATTCAGCCTCACATAGCGTTTTACATGTTGGCCAAAATATTTAATTTTCTCCAACATGTGTTTTGTATCGCATTTTTCTAATGTCTGTCTTTCATCAGTGGCTTTCTCCTTGCCACTCTTCCATTTATATGTGGGATTCACAACTTACAGTTACTCTTTTGATAGATTATTTAACCCAAACAGTAGATATCTCTGGCTTCTCCAGAGTTACCACTGGTCTCTTGGCTGCTGAGCTGACCAGGTTTCTTGGCATGTCAGTTGAGGAAGACAGCCACAGCTTGGTAGGTTTGTACCAAGATGTATCTAACAATCATAGGAATTGCGAAATACTCATTTCACTTTTAGCTAAGAGCTTGAATAATGCTCTTAGAGAACCTTATAGCCTGGATGTTCCAACTTTATTACTGGCCTGGTGTTTCATGGTCTTGATGATTACTCAGTTATGTTCTCTAACAAAAGAGGAGTTCACAGAAGGTTTTAAACATTTATTAAATTATGTTGAGAGAGGTAACCATTTCATAAATAAGATGACTTCTACATGCCATACGCCATTTTATTTATAAAAGTGTAGTAAACCATGTTATATTTTCTTCAATTTTGCAATTATGCATTGCTTTGTGTTGGCCTATTATGATACTGATAAAAAAAAAGAACACTTGTAGTTGCTCCAAAACAAAATGTGAAAAGCACTAAATGTAAATATTTTTTCTGATATCCTGTACAAAGATAAACTAAGCTGTGCAGTTTTACAGAAATAGAACTCACATAATGTTTGGAGATATGTTCATACAATACTGAAGCTCTGGAAATAACAGCCTTGAAATCTTTGCGAAACATTACACCATTATCACCAATCATAATCAACATCCTTCTCACAAAACTAGTTTGTATTTATAAGGCAGTGAAAATGAGAACAGGAGTTTTGGAATCCATGTCTGAAAGCTCATATGCAAGAATTACAGATATGAAGTTAACCTCTTTGGAAAGCTTCTTTCATCACGGCACATTATGCTAAGTATTCACAAAACATTGCTCTAAATATAGGGCCACAGCACATTGCAGATTAACCTGTGTTGTGATGGGTGTTGCTTAATAAGGCAGTATGGTGCTGTCTTCTCTTTTTGATTGGTAATGCTTGAAAACCCACAAACTAAAATGAAATAAATATTTGTTTTTTTCTTTGGAAAGAAAATCTCATGTGCTCCAATGTTTGGACACACTTGAGGTAGAATTAGCCTTTCTGAGGGACTGCAGCAGAATAAATGTGATGCCACTGGAGTTTATTTTTTGAGTGTGGGCATCTTCCCCTTGGCTGTTTGAAGGTATTAAATAGAGAATGACATCTTAGCTCTCTGGGCAAACTCTAATCACAGAAGCTTGCAGCCAATGAAAACATTGACTTGCTCGATTTTGCTCAAGTCCTGTTTCAGCAAAGACATCCATCCTCTAATATTGCAGGGGTTTTTTGCCTTTGATGTGCAATCACACACTCACATGTGTCCCGCTCACAGACTCACCCAAGCACAATACATTTGCTGAAATAAAGTCACTGCAGTGTATGTGACCCATTTTGCAGAGGCAGGGCTTTGCTTTCATAACAGCGGAGTGTGAGGGAAAGAACAAGTGTATGAATGCATAAATGGTATATTCTTGCGCTGGGATGCTGCTACACAACAAGCTTTTAAATCTTGAAAAGAAAATCATAGGTTGGTTTCTGGCGAGAAATGCTTCTGTCATGCGTCCAGTAATAACACTGCTCGTCATATTTTACTGAGGTTATGGGCTAGACAGAATCAAAAGCGGTAGCAAAAGGTCAAAAAAAGGGGAAGCATTATAATCCGTCACAAAAATTTTTAAAAATATATTGCACGGCGTGTAATGTGCGATATATTTCATGTTTCTTAAGTGTGGCGACAAGCCTCAAAACCCTTAAACATGCTCCTCGAGCAGTTTATAATCACTGTTTCACGGTGTTGGAGGACCAAAGCGTAGATAATGTTTTGTATTGAGATAACGCCTTGCCTTATTCCTGCCGCCTCGCGTTAGCAGAGGAGACAAACGGAACAGGAGCATCGCCTTGAAGCCATCCAAATGGGGGTGTCTGCAATGGAGTGAAGTGAACTGAAGTGAAGAAGGAGGTGGAAAAGGCAGAAGAGGGAAGTGGAGAGCAGTGGGGACGAGGGGTAGGAGGCAAGTGCCACAAAAATCAGGGAGAGGCTGCTCGACCCTCGCGGCGCATTACGGCAGCAGTCAAGTGAATGTGAAAACAAGGGAAAGCTTTGCGGAATATCGATTTAATGCTGCAGCCTGAGCAGGGGGAAGATGCGTGCTCCAGATTACATGCGCTCTATTTCCCACCCATACAGGATCCTTGAGCTCCTCTGTCTCCACACTCTGGAGGACCACAGAGAGACGGCGAGAGGATGCTCTTTTATGTCCCGTTTCCCTCTGTGAAGTCCAACTGTGTAAAGAATTAATGCGGAAATAAAGAAAACTGCGGGAGAACACAAATAGTCGGAACATTTTATGCTAATTTGAGGTATTTCAAAGAGAATACAAAAGAGGCCACATTCTGGTGGTTACCTCCATATCTACGGATTGCCTCCTTCTCTTTTAATTATCTCCACATTTCCTAAATAATAAATCAGCTTGGGACCTTAACAGGATGAAAGAAATCTATAGCAAAACCGGTGTAGATCTTGCTATAGCAGCAAAGCAGCACAAAAATCCTTCAAATTGGCCTGTAGTTCTCTTGAAAGTGGAGATATGTACGATCAGAAAATTCCTAATTTTTATTTTTATATTTATAATGTTTGAGAACATAAGTTGCCTTTGTGCTCCACAGAAGATGGCTGCATTATTATTAAGAAAATAAATTCTTCACAAGCAACCATGGACCCATTAATGAAGATAATTATCCATGAAAAATACTCTGCAGATCGTGTTCAGAGTTAAAATTTTGATATAAGGCTGCCATTTCACCAAGATGTTCCATGAGCAGATTTTCTGTCACATATTTCAGAAGAATTTTCTGATTCAGGTATATTCTGATTCTGATTTAACTAAATGTTAAATCAGAATCAGATTTAACATTTGATTCTGTGCTAATCAAATGTGCTAATCTCAAGGACTATTTTATTAGATATTAAGGAATCTGAACTGTACTAAATAACTCCAAGTTCAAACTCTGCAATGATTTGACTGGCTAAACCTGAACTAGGATACACCATATTTTGCTATATTTTGCAGTATTAAATATTTTATGTGCTATGCATTCAGTACCACCATATTGGTAATGTATTTAGCCAGTTACATAAACTGACTGCCATACCTGATGTGTATCATTTTAGATCAGATTTGAGGACATCATTCAATGGTAAAGAAAGAAACTGACAGGTTAATATTGTTTACTTATAATCAATATTGTCAAATCAATTTTCAACAACACTGCAGCAATTAAATACTACCTGTGCTTGAATATGATTGGCTACACTGTCTGGACATCCCCACCAGAACAGACTGTGAAGTAAAGAGAATAAATGTTCAGAAAAGCAGCTAATGGGTATCTGAGCTGATGATGTTTACCGAATACAGATCAGGATTTACCCAATATATAGTTATATACATTTGTCCAACAAGTTAAATTGAAAATATTCTTGCCTGTCTATCTATATGTAGATATGTAGGTATAGATATTTATTTATTTATTTATTTGGACATGTCAGACATGCCGAGATGTATCCTGACCTCTTACCAAATTTGTCTTGCTATGTTTTGATCATTGGGATTAGCATATTGTGCATGTCTTCTACTTTTATTACTGTTTAAGAGGAGGAGCTTTGACGGTGACGGCTTAAGCTCCTGTCACAGTTGACGTCACAATGTCACTGATGTAAACCTCTAACTTCATTCATTTCACATGTGCTCTTGATACTTTTGTTATTCCTGAAGTCAGCAATGGTTTTCTTTCTCACCTCAACCTACTTATTGAGAAAGTATCACCTGAACCCAAAGATGTAAAAGCCTGGTGGAAAGTCAAAAATCTTGTAATTCCAGACCTCAAGTAGCTCAAGGAAGTTTGTAGTAATGTTTTATTTTTTTACAAAACTTTTATAATTTTCTGTAAAGAAAGTCTCAAATTGAATGATTAGAAAAGGCTGCTAGCATTTTATGAAATAAAACTTTTTATTGAAAGAATTGCAAACTGATTTTTCTTTTTTTCTTTTTTATTGTAATACTAAAAATGTTTTAAATGTGTCATGTAAATTTATCTAGGAAGCCAGGCAGGAAATTGAGGGTGCAAATGTTCCTCTTTCACCCTTGACCAAAAAGGCAAACCAGTGGATAAAAAAGCATAACATCTCAATACCAATTTGTTACTTTTGCTCTCCTACCGCCCACCCCCTACCCGCTCTTGCCATGTTGAAAATTATGAACATTCAGACTCACACATTCTTGCGCACAGCCAAGTGAGGAGGCGCCTCCGCGTCCGTCCTGGGCCAATAGCGCGCAGGGTAGCCTTATCATACTTCTACCCGACTGGCCAATGGCGCAGCGCTCCCCGCTCACATGACGCCTTTCTGTGCGCTCTCCAGTCCTTTCAGGCGCTCAATCCCGGCGAGTGCAGGCATCACTGAAGACCTGACATCGGAGGAAATCGGACGTCCGCCCTTCTCTCCCTGCAACTGATTGACCAGGTGTTCATCTTAAACAAACTTTATCTCCTGACGATGAGGCTGACCAAGCACTCCTGTCGGCGGAGGACGACAGCCGCTTTTGCCGCTGGAAGAGACTTTTTGTGTCCAAACGGGGGAAAGGCAGGCTCTGAAACAATAACACCCCGAAGTTATTGTAATAAATTGTAAGTGGCGAGATATAATATTTTCCTTTTTCTGGATGCTCTTGTTCGCAAAAGTAATGACTTGGAAACAACTTCATTTTCAAATGCAGAACTTGTTTCACTTTTGCGTGGCACGAGTTCTGTTCTTTTTAGTTTTAATCTAAATAGATATTTTGACATAAAAAAACACCTTCATATGTCGGTGTATCATAACATATTTGACTTAAGTTAATGTTGGAGTAATCTGAGTTTGTTTTTTCCTGTCTCTGCTGTCGGCATTCTTTGTGTGCGTCTCTGTGAATGTCCTCATTGTGCATGTGTGGTTGTCTCCGCGCAGCGCCATAGAATGAAATATAGATAAAAAGCACACAGTAAACCCGCTGACCCCAGTCAGACAGACAGGCAGGCTGTGCAACCGGTCCACACGGCTCAATGAGGACAATTAGGGGGGGCCGACAGGAGAAATAAATGGAGTACTTGAGGCGCACTGAAACAGGTCTGCACTTCACTTCAAACCGCCTGACGGAGATGGAGGTGAATTTTAAGTCTTATATCGAGATAAAAATAAAAAATAAATAATGATTAATTGTTTTTCCTCCCCCTCTTACTTGTTAAGTAAAGTACCTTAAATGTCAAATTTCAGTGAATTGGATTTCACCTTATGCACCTTATGGGGTCATGTCATTCAGTGAACCTTTTTATTGATTGGAAATTAGAGGGTGCTGGGGGTCATAGGTGGGAGGAGGGAGTACAAAATTTATGTACAGTCCAGAGTTAATCCAAAAAGTAGGTGCCCTCAGATTTTTTTTTCTTTTTATTTTGTATCTACCGCACAATCAGAGGGAAAGAGCAGGGGACCAGGGCCATTTGATGTTTTGAAAGGCTTCAGATGGCTTTAATTAGGACCTATAAAATCTGTCTGCCCTGTTCTTTCAGGCAGTGGTCTGGAAAAGCAAGAAAGGGAGGGGAACGGGCAAGAGGAGAGAAAGAGGGAAAAAAGAAAAGCAAACCCGACACAGAAAATCACTTCAGTGGAAGATCGTCTAATCAAAATTTTATAACCCTCCTCTTTTTCTTCTTGTCGCTCCTTCCCCAGACTCCCACCCTCTGTTTCTTGATGCTGGTGGTATGTAGGCAGCGCTTCTTGTTCCCCTCTTTGTCTGGCTGCTGTCTTATCTACTCTCACCCACCCCATCCTCCCAACAACCCTCAAACCTAACTATCGCCTACAGTACACCGACCCCAGACACCTGAAGCCTAGACATAATGATCAAGAGAAGTTTCAGTCTGTCTGAAGTGCAGCCAGTTGTTTTTAGGTTTTCATCTTCTCCTCCCACTTTTTCCCCGCTCCTGTTCTCTTGCAGGCCTGGCTTGCCCTGCCTGTCCCCTGTTCCTCAACCCCAAATCAAGACACATAATGTTGTTTGTGAGTTTCTGTGTTTGCATGCAAAAAGGGTTGCAGTTTCAGTGCTACTGTGCTGCTGTCGCCGTGCAGCCTGTATGGATATTGGATGAATGTGGGTGACTCACAGAGCTGCAATAGACACACACTCAAACACACTCTCATGAGGAAACATCAAAGACTTATTCTGCCTTCTATTGTGTGAGTGTGTCTGATGCAGATTCTACTTGTGTTCTCCAGGCAAGCATATGTATAAATGTAGAGTCTTTGGTGGTGTGCTCTGTGATTCGCTTTACATTTTTCATCTAGTATTACTATTGCTACAATTTTGTTTCCAAACGAACCACAGGAAACTTTGATCCATAATTTTTTAAATCTTTTTTAAGTCCTTCTTCTTTTGGGGAAATTAAATGTCGATGTGGATTATGGTCCATAAAACATCAGAACATCAATATTAAAACAGTGAAGTTAAGTCCGTTTTAAGTCTCAGTTGAGCACTCCATCTCTTGAACAAAGACTGATTGATGGCGCAGAGAAGTCCTTATAATGGCCCGCCGCAAGCATAATGCTGTTGAATAGTCAGAAAAAACAACATTGCTCTGTATATATATATCAGAGAGAGAGGATTGCTAAATCTGAACATCTGAACTAACCAGTTGGCAAAATTTGGATGGCACCTATGAGGTAAATTAAGTAATATTTCCAACATATTTTTGAGACCAATAAGAAAGACAAGAACATGCATGAAAACATGTCTGTAGACATCCTGTATGAAGGTAATGATTAAGGTCTTTTGGAATCGATATAATATGACAAGCTAAAATATATTTAAGTTAAAAATTGGCAGACATACATTTAACAGATTTATCTTCCATTTGAGCCTCTCTTTGTTTCTCAATGCGTGTTGGATGTTGATTACATCATTTTGTGTCTTTCTGTATAGCTATCAAAAATATTAAGACGGGTTGTTTCGAAGAATTGGTAGTTGGGTTAATTATTAATCTTGTCCTTAGAAAATATGCTCCATTAAACACTAGTGTCTTATTACTAAATCACAGTTAGGTCTTTTTTTAATTATCAACCGAATGCTCATCTCTTGAACAAAGACTGATTTGACTCGCTGTGAGGCTTATACAATGACCCCTCTATTTCTAATATTGAATTCAAGTGATATAGAAAATAGCTTTTCTCCTTTTAATCTAAATGTGTATATGTGATCAAAGAAGCAATGACGAGATGTCCACCTAAGTACATTATTGATTTATAAATGTAGTTATAGGGTTATGGGGCTTGATCAAATGGGCTAGCTGGATGGATGGATGGATGGATGTATTTTATTTTTCCTTATATATAAAGAATAAGGACTGGACTTAAAAGACTCATAATGATGATGAGGACTGTCTCTAGTTTGTCATGAAGGTCTTTTAACACCTGAAATAGAAAAAGTATTAAGTGCAAAAATATATCAATTTTTTTGTTATATTTTTCTCTTTGAAAGAGTGACCTTGAACCATCCTTACCTCTTGCACATCCCTTTCTTTCTTGATGTTTGTTGGGTGAGATTATAAAAAAAAAAATCTCACAAATTTGGTATGTATTAAACTGGTTTGCCTTGCAGAAAATGGCTTGTTGGTTTTACTTTTATTTAGAATATGGTATGTATTCACAAATAAGATTTTATAGGTCCTACGTTTTTGATAATATTCCTTCTCCTGAACAAATTGATGAAGCTTCTGAAGTGACCCATCTGGAGCAAAATTTTAATGGCTAGGTAAAGAAAATATCAAATTATCTTCCATTTAAAAATGTAAATCTTTTTGAAGAGTAAAAGACATCCATATGAAGACCTCATTTGATGTTTGAACGTTGTTACTTTGAAGCTCGAATGACAGTGTTTTATTTTGTTCTGGCAAAATTAGGATAAGATGGATGAACTAAAAATACGTACAATTTTCAATGTTAAATTTAACATTAAATAAAGAAAAGGACAGTTTATCCTGAAATAGCTGTAAAAAAAACATGTCATCATCTTTAAGTTGATTAATGTCTTGTGCAATTTGAAATCTAAATATATATGTTAGGCTTACCAGATTAAAGATGATGGACATTTGACAGATTTATCTTCAAAGCTTTTGCCATTAGACACCTCTTTTGTTTCCGCCTCTTTGTTGGTTGTGCATTGCATCATTTTGTTTCAGATGGGTTAGCTAGACACTAAGCTAGCTTGCCTCACAGAAAACGGTTGATCAGAGTCTTTGTTAGACACTCGTCGAAAAAGGATATATTTTTAGCATGCCACCAGTTGTTTTTCTCGAATGTATCCATTTTTGATAAACTTGTTTATCTGAGGATTATCCCCTGAACAACTGGAGTGGGGTGAGTGGGGAAGGGGGTGGGAGGGTGCTCTCGCTGTGCATCAACAATATAATCTGCTCAAATGGGATGTTTTGAAGAACAAGTGTCTTTAAAATCTGTCACCGAGCTCCAGTTGCAGTTCTTCCCCTTGTTTTGTGTTTGTTTTCTGAAACTCTTTGCATCATCGCATCAGGGAGGTATGGGGCCTGTGTCTTCTTCTACCACCACCCTTTGAAGGGGGAAGTAATAAAAAGCTCAATGGGTGCAACAAGCTGTTCCTCCCTCCTAGACTTTGAGGCTCTCTACCTGGAGATGAATAGGAGGCCCCTCTGTATCGAAGGAGAAAAAGAGCAGTTTATTGAAGGCTGAAGATGCTAGACACTTGGTGTAAAATTGTCTAGCAGTGCCATTTTCGGAAAGTGCTTTCAGTTGAACTTATTACAGTGTTTTGATCACACAATAGCTTGTACATAACCCCTTCTCCCCTGGGCCCAACACACAGACACACGCAAACAGTATTAAAATCTAGACAGGTCATTGTTTAGTTAATGTTAAATTATGTGGTTAAATTCTGCCTAAGGTAAAGACGGTTTTCACACCTTGATAACACAACATTCATGGTAATAATGTTGAACAATCACAAAGCTGCAGATTAAGATTTTGGTCACCAGATTTATGCATGAAGAAGTGAAGTCATGGTCAGGAATGTAAATGGTGGAGTCATTCAATTACAATCATACTCTTTCCTGGGAAAAGTCCCCAGCCGTGAAGAGGTTAATTGTTTTTGAATCTTCATCCAAGGGGAGAAAATAGAGGAACGGGAGGGATAATTGAGCTGCAGATAGTTGAGTGGGTTATGGATTACTGTGCCTTCTCCAAAGGAGAAAAGAAAAGGAGGTGACCAGGAGAGGAAGGAGAGAAGGGGGAAAAGGAAGGAAGGGGGCGTGAAAGACTTGCTTGTGCGATGCAGCCGCGGGGGCCGTCTGGCCTCCTTAGGAAGAGGGAGAACTCCGATCCTGTTTAGCCCACGAGGTGACCCTTGGCCCCTTCACTTGCTCCTCCCTGCTCCAGGTGCAAGCCCTCACTGCTGGCAGCTCACACACAGACACTCATGGCGTGCCAATTCCTCATACACACTGCATGGAGGGGGGGAAACAGCACATGAAAATGCAGCTCCCTTTCACATTTTTCACCCCCATACAATCCCCCTCACTTTTTCTACATGCTTTTCTATTGTCTGGGGTTAAAGATCCAAACCTGCTTT